ATGTTCTGACCTCTAGAGCATATTGCTCGCGAGCACACCTTGAGCTCCCTGCTATGTCGAGCCCCCTATAAATCATGCCCACCAGGACCTCATTGGGGTTTGGCGGAGCTTGCTAGACTTGGTTCTGAACCTAGATCAAGACTTGGTTATTTTGCTCGCCAGTATTTTTGCGAGCTGGTGTCGCCTTAACGAATTCCTTTAGATAGCCCCTTCTTATTAGGTCCTCAATGGCGTCCTTCAAAGCTCGACACTCATTTGTGTTGCATCCGAAGTCCCTATGGTACTGGCAGCACTTTTTTCGATCTTTTCTGTCTAGGGTCGAGCTTTTGGCCAATGTTGCCATCGAGTTTTCTACCCTCTGGTATTTTGTAGCCATCTGATAGAACTGGGCAAGGCATATGTGATCTTCACTTTGGAGCTATTTCCATAGCTCTATGTTCGGTCTGATCCCTGCAATTAGCAAAGTTTGGATGGACTCCTCGGGCGCATCTGTGACCTTTGCCTGTTTGTTATGGAACCTCATTAGGTACGAGGTCAATATTTCGTCTCTCTCCTAACAAATGTTGCTCAACTAGCTAAACAACATCACGAACTGCCTTCTCGCTTGAAATTGCTATAAGTATAACAAGGATAATTGTCGCCAAGAGTTGATGGAGTTTGCCTTGAGCCTTTTATACCACCTCTTAGTGTCCCCTCCCAATGTGACTGTGAAGTATCGGCATTTAGCCAATTCACGGACCTGATGTAGCTCCATCAGGTCATTGAAATTGTCAAGATGGTCTTTGGGGTCCCCTCTCTCGTCAAACTTGCTCTCTAGCACCTTGAATCCTTACCGAAGTAGGCCTGGTGAACTTCCTCTGTGAAGGGGGAACTTACTATTTCCTCTACCGTGCCATTCTAGCAAGCTCTCAGATCATCGAGCATTTTCTACATACGATCTAATTCTTTGTTGTGGTTGCCCTAGCTATCTCTACTCAGCCTCATTTCGAGCAAATGGGTTTGCAATCTACCTCTTGCGAGGTCCCTCCAGTGTGCGCGTTAATGTGTTAGGTCGAGTCATGATGGCTAGGTTGATAAGTGCTATCATGCTCATTAGTGTGTTGTTTCAGCCGTCGGTTATAATCGGAATGTCGATCATTGCAAGATTAACACAATTGGCTGGTCCCATGAGCCTGCAAAGATTGATCTTATCTCAGGCGTGGGTTAATATCGGCACGCTGATGCTGGGGATATCGTCGAGCATCTCGGAGGTGTCTGTTGTCTTCACTTTTCCCTAGCGATTGCTTTCCTAGTCGTCTTCCGGGGTTAGTTTGCCTGCGGGATTCGCACTTGTGAGCGGAGTGCAATTTGTGATGTTGGGGATGTTGGTCTCCTATTTTTGCCGACAAAACAGATCTTCCACCTATAGAATTCATACATGTTGGGGTGGTGTTGGTGAAGCGTGGCTGGTTAAGATTCTGGGCAGTTGGTTGCTGGTTTCTTAACTTAGCCACCTTTTGTTGCACTGCCTGTGTAACCATTATTCTAATCTTCTCCACTAGTTGGATGTTCTCGGGGTTTGACGTCCCTGCCCTCTAGTGGTTTATGACGTGTTAAGTTGGTGGCACGGGTGGTCGGCGTCCAACGATGTCCTGTTGCACTTCCTGGTGGGTGGTTTCCATATTTTCAAGGTTTCCGGTGGTAGTCTTTGACTCGATGTGCACCACTGTGAGCCTAGATTGGGTTGATTGCTATGATTGTTCGCCGGAATACTTGTTGACAGAGGCTTCCCTTCTAGTGCCAAAATGTTGATACAAAAATCTGCACTAACCAGCGAGATTCGATCGACCTAGTCAGGATCAAAACTGATGTAGGCATGATTAAAGATAACCAGCGATGAAAGTATAAAGATGCAATAAAGTAAAAGACAATGAGAGTTTTTAAAGTGGTTTGGCGAGGTAAAATCTGAAGCCTACGTCCACTATTTTGTATTTGCGATGAGAGTTTACAATGTAAATTCTATCAAAATTTTGTAACCCCCTGTTCATAATTTGAGGGGGTTTATATACAAGATTTGTAGGAAGGAAAGAGCGAAAACAAAGGGATTACAACTGATCTGAAATGTAATTCCAATATTCTCGCGATTGGGTGCTGGGATTGAGTAGAAATTATTGTTGATCTAATCTTTTTCGCAATATCTGGGATCTGAGACAATGTGAGAATTGATTGACTGATTGCTCGGATTATTCGCATCTAGCTTCTGCTGGGTTGAGCTACAGCTCGACAAGATTAAGCTGGGTTAATCAGACATCATTTTCGAGTTGGTTCTGGGTCGAGCTATATCCTTATGATAACCCGAGCTTGGCGGAAAAATCACACACAACAAAACTCATACCTAGATTTTGCCTAAACCACCCATTTTCAACATGTTCATTGAAATATATGCTTAATCAACTATAACGATGATAAATCATTCCAAAAATAACTTATTTAACATGTTTCCTAGATTTATATGCACTTACTCAAATTTTAGATTTCAAATAACTAAACTTTCATTGTAAAAATAATATATCGGGAAATCCGTTAAAAATGTGTTCCGCAAGATCATAAATGCAAGTCTTCACTCGAGATTTTAGAATGGAAGCATGGGTTTTGAATTAATGGTTAGGGATTTGTTATTAAGGCAATTTCGTACACCAATTTTGTGCTAAATGGAAATGTGCTATTTTTTAAGACACTTTCAAAAAAGTGCTAGTTTTCACCTCGTTGTAATTGTGTCATTTAATATAATTTCTCTTGTTAATTTTTCTAGCAACTAAATAGCTCTAAATGCATACAATTGAAAATCTCCCAGTGCACAGGATTTATTCAGTTTTTTCCAAGTCTTCGACTTGAAACTGCTGGAAAACTTCTAGTTAACACTGATGACTTTAAAATAATCGAATGTGATAGGTTTTTCTTTTCGTATTAGGTGGACGTAGACCATGAACGGATAAAATATAAATTGCTTCATTTCTTGGAAGATGAACTGAATGCAACATATATGTAATTTAATGCAAACAACTAATAATATAATATTGATGTAGCTATCCATGACTTTGGAAATATAATATCACATAATACATTATGTATACAGTGACTTTGGAAATATAATATCACATAATTTAATGGGTTGGTTTTTTTCAAAAAGCAATGTAGACACAAAGCTTTTTTAATTTCTTCGTAATATGCTCTTACTTGATCAAAATTTGCTTACTTGAAATATGTGCATATTTTTCCTGGAAGAGTAATTTAGTGCAAACAGTAATTTAGGCAGTCGGCATCTGGGGGACTAAAGACATCAGAATTACAGAAGTTAAAGTAAGCAAAAGTGTCAGTAAATTAGGTGGAATTATCTTTCTACAACATGGCGAGATCAATCTTTTACAAGTATTAATCGTTGAGTTTAGTTAAATTTGGCTCTTTTTATTTAATTTAATAAGAGATTTATAAGTAAGTTTAGTAAAAGAACGAAAATAAAAGTATAAGCCATAATACAAAATTCTAATTAGTTCCCTACGTTACTACATTTTTAATTAGATTACATATCTAATTATTTAGTTATTTACCAAAAACAAAATTCGATAAACAGTAAAAGATATAAATTTTATTATTTGTCACAAATTTAAATGTTAATTACGTCATAAAAATAAAAAATAAAAAATATATTAATCATTTATAATAAGTTGATGGGGTTAGGTTTTCTTTTGTATTATATGGATTATTAATTTTTAAAAGATAAAAAGGAAATTGCTTTCTTTCTTGGAAGATGGACTAGACAAATAAATTATCGAATACAAACAAATTATAATATGATCTCTTGTGAGCATTCTATATTGTTCTCATTTAGTACATTATCTATAAAATGACTTCAGAAAGACATTATATATGCCCTCATTTGATCGAAATTAACGTAGGTGGTTTTTATTAATTGAGAAATTATATTAAATGACACTATTTGGAGCCTTGAATCGGGAGAAATAACACCTTTGGAAAGTGCCTCAAGCAATGTGCAATTCAAATTCACACAATATTTTTGAATGAAATTGCCCCCATATATAAATAAAACTTACACTATTCACTCATCTTCTGTAACCCTAACCTACCCCTACCTCCATTTGACAAAATTCAAACTTTCAACTCTAAATCGATACCCACCTCTTATTAGTGCCAAAATCGAGTAGAATTTGAGTGAAAATACTAATTTTGGATTTAGGGTTTTTGGGGGGATTTTAGGGTTAAGAATGGGAGATATGTTGAAGTGTTATTGAGTTGTTGAGAAGGGTACGAAAATGGTTGGATAATTGGATTGTATGGCATTGAAATTTGCATTTTTTGGCCAAATAAAGGGGTTTCGGTTAGATTCAACCAAAAAACATAGGTTTTGTTGGAGAAGATAAAGTCAATTTTTAATCGAATACCTTGGATTCGACCAAGATAGGTTTTTTCTCGGAAGATGACTGAAAAATGAAAAATGAAATCTTAAGACAAGTTTGTTAAAATCTTAATTTGTTTCCATCAAATAATGTTTATGCTAATTACTTAATTAACTCTACAAGGGTAAAAATGTCATTTTGCAATCTAACCGGAGGGCTTTTTGAAAATAATTAATTCAAAGAAAATACCTTAAATTTTTTTTTGAAATACTATAGTAGATTAGTTAATGAAATGTAGATTTAATGAGTTTTGAAAACAATGTTCATGTCTTTTATTTATGAATTCATAACTATAGAAATTCTTAGCTTTTTGAAAAACAAGAAAAAGAAATGGGGAGTGGATAAAAATTGAAGTGATGGACAATGGACTGAAAGTAAATAAAGCAAGAAATTTGAAGGGCCGCCTGGTTGGAGCTCAGAAATAATGGCAAAAGAGCCGTATTATATTTAATTAAATATATTATTATATTTAATTACTTAAAATTTAAGGCGCCATTGAACATTTTCCAAATCTCCAAACACTCTGATTGCTTCAACCCAAGTCCGATGGCTTCTTCTTCGTCTTCTCGTCCTACTCAAGAAAAGTACGATGTTTTTCTTAGTTTCAGAGGTGAAGACACTCGCAACGGTTTTACCAGCCACCTCAATGCAGCTTTGGGCCAAAAAAAGATTATAACTTTCATCGATGATGAACTTAGAAGAGGAGATGAGATTTCACCCTCACTTTTGAAGGCAATTGAAGGATCGAAGATCTCAATTGTCATTTTCTCTAAAGACTATGCTTCTTCTACATGGTATCTGAAAGAACTTGTGAAGATCATGAATTGCAGGAAGATACATGGTCAGATTGTGATTCCAGTTTTCTGTGATGTAAATCCATCAGATGTAAGGAAGCAAAGTGGGACTTATGGAGATGCATTTGCTAAGCATGAAGTACAATATCAGCAGAGGAAAGAGATGTTGCAAAGATGGAGGAGTGCTTTGACGGACGCAGCCAATCTATCTGGCTTTGATTCTGTTATGCCTAAGAAAATAGGGCTGACGTGGCTCCCAGTTAAGTGCAAAAGGTCAGACCTCAGGAAGAGTTTACTGACATTCTGGCGCAACTACGTCGTGTGATCATGGTTACACTCACAGCCTGCTTCCATCAGAATAATGGGTGCACGTCAGCCCAGCCAGGAGTTGTGGTGATACCGCTTGTCCTATCCCTGCAACAAATCACGTGAATTACTCTAAAAGAAGGATTTGCACGGATCATCCCACCAACTTATAGATTCAGTGATCATTGCTTCAAGGCATCCCACTATAAGTTGAGAGCTCCTCTCTCATTAAAGGGATTGGCACATTTACTCTTGGCCATTCTCTTTCTCTCTCTCTCTAGAATAGACAGCATTTGATACTTTGTATTCTCAGTGTAAAGTCAGTTATCTAAAATGACCTGACCCTTATCATTAATAAAAACATTAATGGACGTAGGACTTGCTTCCTTAGCATCCGAACCACTTTAAAACTCCTTTCTTACAGCATTTACTATCATTTTCCTTTCCATTCACTTGTGTCTTTTGGGCCAACTCAACATTTCACACGTGTGTTTCGTTGGTGTCAAAATCACGCATCAACAGTTTGGCGCTAGAAGGAGGGCTGATTTAGTGTTCATCTTTCATCAGGAGAATCTCCAACCTACCGGTCCTACAGCAAAAAAATGGCCTACCAACCAGAACCTGGGCAAACCAACCAGGGAGCTGAGGGGCTCCCCCAAGTTCAGGGGGACACTTCTTCCAAAAAACCTTCAGCCCCGAAAAATGCTGCAGGAGATATCCTGTCAAGTTCACAGCTTGACCCCGCTATTAGAAGCTACCTGGAGAGGTTTGACAATACGCTCCAGACGGTCAACCAAAGGCTAAACCATTTGGACCAAGGCATGCCATCCAAGTCAGCTGCGACAGTACAGCAGCCAAAAACGCCTGTAGGTCACGCGAAAGCGCGGCAAAGGGAAATAACCTGTGCCGCGAGCACTGCAGCGCGTAGACAAAAGGGTAAGCAAGTGGCAAAAAACAAGCCCACGGGCTAGCAAACTCTGACCGCATCCCAAGCAGAATACCAGTCTCATTGAGACTCGGTGAAAGGATGCAGCCCAAGCTGTCCCATGCCATGTCAAAAGTGCACAGCCATAAAAGTGCTGGACGGGGCGATTTCTATCACCGCCAGAAAACGATCCTGATCGTCACCATGCGAGAAGGTCCCACACTTCGCGAGGCGGTTCTTACCACTGCGAAGGTCGTGAAAATATCCCGCACCTTTCATCGCCATCGCACGCTTCTAGCCAACGTGTGTCGAGAGTGGCCGGAACTGCCCACCGAGGCGAAGAGGAACCCAACCTTCGGACTTTTCTCAACCGTAATCGCGAGGGTCAAACTCGCATGGGTGAAAGCAATCCCCAAGCGGCTCCATTGCTGCAAATTGAGGAGCTGCAGCAAGCTCTAGACAGACTACAAGCTCAACAAAACGAGCAGAGGCAAGTCGTATCTGCGTCCCCTTTCTCTATCGAAGTGTTAGCCATTCCACTCCCACTAGGATTCAGGATGCCCGACATGTGAGTTTTGATGGGAACTTTGATCCGTAGGATCATTTGTACGAATTTAACGACCTGATGGAGCTTCACCAAGTCTCAGATCTAGCAAAATGCTGTTGTTTGGCTGTGACTTTGACCTCTCATGCCAAACAGTGGTTCAGGTCGCTCCCAGCGGGATCGATCAGTTCGTGGCCTCAGATGAGCGCGACGTTCCTAAGGCATTTTCAAGCAAATCGGAAGTTCTTAATGCCTTTGAGCTACCTCAGCAATATAAGGCAAGAAAGAGATGAATCCCTCCAGTCCTACATTGACCGTTTCCACAGAGAACTCAACAAGGTGGCTCATACTCCCGAAGAGTCTATTCGGATTCTCATCATAGCCAGAGTTCGTCCACAGACCGACCTATGGAAAGAATTACAGGCTAAGGACGATGTTTCTCTCACTGGATTCTATAATCTTGTGGACAAGTACCTCCGGATAGAAAATTCATTGGCGGCACTCTGCCGTGGCGACCACGATGCTTTGTGCAGTATACCTAGTTGGCGGGATAGTAGAAGAGCTGATCACAGAGGGGACGCAGACGATCAGCAAAGAGGGAAGAAACCTCGTTACGAGCCCAAAAAGTCTTATGCTTCCGTCTCTCGTCGCAATCGCGATAGAAACCAATATACTCCATTGAACGCATCTATATCAGCTATTCTTGATAAATCCAAGGAGGCCAGCCTGCTCAGAGAGCCTGAGCCCATGAAAACTCCCGCGACGGCAAGAAATAATAAAAAATATTGTCGCTATCATCGGGACAATGGGCACCATACTGATGAATGCCAAGCTCTCAAGCAGGCGATTGAAAACCTTATCAAGCAGGGACATTTCAAGGAATACATTGATGACTCTGCTCCCTCACAAGAAAAAAATTAGGGGGAGCCAAGTAAGAAGCGCTGCGATAAAAAAGGAGTGTGCACCCTCAATTTAATTTTCGAGGGACCGCACTTTGCGAGAAACTCACGAGGTGCCCAAGAAAGGTATGCTCGCGAGGCACATCACGAGCCCATCGGAGCGATGAGCGTGGCACAGCGACCACAATAGGTTCACCGGGAGGAGGAAATTTCCTTCTCTGAAAAAGATACGGCCCGGCTACATCATCCTCACGATGATGCCCTTGTGATCACGCCCCTTATAAGGCACTATAATATCTAGAGAATGTTAGTGGATAACGGAAGTGTTGTGAATATCCTGTTCGCTTTAACTTTCGAAAGAATGAATTTAGATGAGGCAGACCTAAAGCCTGCCTCGTTCCCTCTATATGGCTTCACAAGGGACCACCTACTCCCTAAGGGCACGATCTCACTCCCAGTCACGCTGAGTAACTTCGACGAGGTGACCAGAGTAATTGAGTTCTTGGTAGTAGATTGCCTATCTGCCTTTAATGGAATCTTGGGGCGACCTCTGCTGAGACACTTCAAGGCAGTCACTTCAATATACCATTTGAAGATGAAGTTACCACCCCAACGGGGATTGGGGAAGTTAGCAGGTCTCAGCGCGTAGCTCGAGACTGCTATGTGAAAGTAGTACAGATGGCGTGCAAAGGCAAAGGCACCTCACGCGACGATTATAACTAGACAATGGCGATTAGCCGAATCGAGCCACAGCCTGGCCTGGTCGAGGATAATATAAATCCTCGCATTCAGGACTGCCATTCCAGTGGGCCAATTGAGGACTTGACTGAAGTACTGGTCGACCAGACCGAACCAAGTAGGGTGCTAAGGATCGGTAAAAATCTCAATCCCCAACTCGCTACCGAACTGACTAGTTTCCTTAGGGAAAACATCGATGTGTTCGCATGGTCGCATGTAGATATGGTCGGGATCAACCCGAATGTTATTTGCCATGCATTAAACATCGACTGTGAAGCCAAACTAGTTTGCCAAAAGATGAGAGCGATGGACCATGAGCGATATGTTGCCTTGAAGCTTAAGGTGGACAATCTCCTCCGAAATGGATCCATCCAAGAAGCATTCTATCCGACCTGGGTTGTCAACCCAGTTCTAGTAAAGAAGCCTAACGGCAAATGGCGGACCTGCTTCGACTTCACCGACCTTAACAAGGCATGTCCTAAAGACAGCTTCCCCCTACCAAGAATTGATCAGCTCGTGGATGCCACCTCGGGGCATGAGCTGCTAAGTTTTATGGACGCGTGCTCAAGATATAATCAAATTCTGATGTATGGGCCAGACGAAGAGCATACATCTTTTATTATAGATCGGGGGTTGTACTACTACAAAGTTATGCCCTTCAGCCTTAAGAACCCTGGCGTAACTTACCAACGACTAGTTAACCAGATGTTCTCCAAACAGATAGTTAGATCGATGGAGGTCTATGTAGATGACATGCTAGTGAAGTCACATGTCGCTTCAGTTCATGTAGCACATTTCGCTGAGATGGTCAGCATCCTTTGACAGTATCGAATGAAGTTGAACCCCCTCAAATATTCATTTGGAGTATCCTTGGGAAAATTCCTAGGGTACATGGTTAACTAGCGGGAAATTGAGATCAACTCCAAAAAAATCCAAGCTTTCCTCGATATGAAGAGCTCGACCAACAAAAAACAAGTGAGCCTAAACGAGCGTATAACGGCGCTAAGTCGCTTCATATCAAGGCTAACAGATTGTTGCTTGCCATTCTTCAATGTACTCAAGGCAATAAGAAGTTCGAATGGACTCCCGAGTGTGAACAGGCCTTCTAGAGAATAAAGGAACACCTCGGGAAACCACCACTTCTATCCAAACCTCTCCCACAAGAGATCCTCCTTTTGTATCTGTTTGTCTTACAGTTCACCGTCAGTGCAGCTCTAGTTCAGGAAGAGAACGGAACACAATGGCCGGTATATTACATGAGCAGGCGTCTATTAGATGCCGAGATGTGGTATTTGAAAATGGAGCGATTAGCCTATACCCTGCTGATCGCTTCCCAAAAGTTGCGACCTTACTTCCATGCCCATACAGTTCACGTATTGACTAATTATCCACTCAGGCAGGTCCTCCAAAAACCAGAGGCATCAGAAAAATTGCTCAAATGGGCCATGGAACTTAGCTAGTTCAATCTCCATTACAAACCAAAAGCAATTATTAAAGGGCAGGCTGTGGCTGACTTCATATCAGAGTTCTCGCATCATCTAGCGAACGAGTCGGAACAGTCCAACGAAGTCATCTAGAAAACTGTTCAAAATCTCTCGACTTGGACCCTCTACGTCAATGGATCATCAAACAGAAAGAGGGTCGGAGCAGGCCTTCTCTTGTTAAGTCCCAAAGGGGCCCGCATTCATAGCATTCTCCTGTTCAGTTTCAAAGCAACTAATAATGAGGCCGAGTATAAAGCTCTGCTCGCTGGACTCAGGTTGTCTAGGGAAATGGGCGCAACCGCGATCAGTGTCCATAGTGATTCCATGCTGGTCGTTAACCAGATTTTGGGAGAGTATCAAGCCAAGAAAGATAACATGATTAATTATCTAAAGAAAGCTAAGGCCACACTCGAGCCGTTCAAGTACTTC